TTCCATTTCTTTGTGCCACATCAGTGAGTATAGTCAGTTGTCTGTGGTGTCCCTCCATAGCGTCACCCACAGTGGGTCGAGGCTATATGCAGTTCCCTCAGCCTTTGCAGAATCGTGGCTTGGTGTTAGCATTTGACGTCCGGCAACGCTAGTCCTCCCCATTGTCTCGGGAGGCAGAGTTTTTCGTAGCTGATTCGTGCTCTATCTCCTTTCCATATGTATTGTATGAATGCCGTTTTGAGTATCGCGAAGAAAGTGTGCGGGATTGTTTGTGGTGCTGTATGGAAGAGGTATAGAATCCTGGGGAGGATATTCATCTTAATTACTGCTATCCTCCCTAGCCATGAGATGTGTGTGTAATTCCATCTCTTGAGGTCTCCAAGAATGGTGGTCAGGAGAGGCGTGTAATTGTGTGCGTAGATGTCCTTCGTTTCCTGTGTGATCCACAGCCCGAGGTATTTCATCCGTCCTTGGCACCAGTGGAACGGATAGTGGCTTCTTAGTTGCATGCTTTCCTTCTCGGGTACAGTGACGTTCAGGATGTCACATTTCGTCAGGATGAGTTTTAGTCCCGAAAGACGCCCATAGTTTTCGAATTCAGCCAGGAGCTGTGGTATGGAGTCTGCCGGGTTCTTGAGGAAGAAGAGCATGTCATCCGCGTAGGCAGCAACTTTATGTTCGTGCGTCTTATAGCATAGCCCGTTATCCTCAGGTTTTTTCGGATGCGGTCTAGAAGCGGCTCCAGCTTCAGAGCAAATATGATCGGGGAGAGTGGACATCCCTGCCTCGTGCCATTCTGAATGTTGAAGCTATCTGTAAGGGCCCCATTAACCCGTACTCTGGCATTCGGGCAACTGTATAGCGCTGTGATCCATGTGAGCATACCTTGTCCCATGCCCGTCGTGCGCAATGTCTCCGTCATAAAGTTCCAGTCCACTCTGTCGAAGGCTTTCTCCGTGTCTGTGGACAGTAGGAGCAGTTTTGTCTTTGTTTGTTTAGCTAGATGTTGTACTGCGAATAGTCTGAGGGTACAGTCTCTGGCCTCCCTTCCCGGTATGAAGCCAGTCTGGTCTGGGTGGATTAATCTTGTAAGATATGTTTGAAGTCTCATCGCTAGCACCTTGGAAAATAGTTTTATGTCAGCGTTAAGTAGCGATATGGGACGATAATTTCCCACCTGCTCTGTATTTTTGCCCGGTTTGGGGATGACCGTGATGGTTGCTGCTAGCGTTTCCCTGCTGAAGGAGTTTCCTTCACGTATGCTGTTGATCACCTTAGTTAGGTGGGGTATAAGAATGTTTCCAAATTTTTTGAGATACTCTATCGGGAATCCATCTGGTCTCAGTGCTTTCCCAGTTTTTGCCACTTTCAGTGCTCTGCTGATCTCCTCTTTGGTGACCGGTGTATCAAGTTCTTCTGCTTCCCCCGGTGTGAGGGTGACCGGTCTGAAGTCCCCTAAGTAGTCCGTCGTGTCTAACTCCCTTGCGTTTCGGGCTAGTTCGTCCTCGTCCTTGCGAATATTGTATAACTGCACGTAAAACCGTTGAAATTCGCTCGCAATCTCTTCTGGGAATTGGGTTGTTGTACCTTGGGTGGTGCGCAGAGCATGGACTTGCGCCCTGCCCTGCGCTCTTCTCAGCATCCGTGCCAGTAGTTTACACCCCTTGTTGGCGTGCCTATAGAAAAATGCGTGATTTCTTTGGAGGTTTCTGGCATGTTTGCACTCAATTAGTTCTGAGAGTAGTCTTCTGTTCGTTACTAGGTCCCTGTAAGTCTGGTCCTGTAGGTCGCGTTTGTGGGCCATTCTGCTATCTGTTTTCCCATTTCCTTTTTCCTTCGGGTGGCCATGCGGATTAGGTGGCCTCTGATGACACTTTTGTGTGCCTCCCAGATCGTCATATCTGATACCTCCCCAGTGGTGTTTTCTGCGAAGTACTGGTTCAAGTGTTCAGTGAGTTGGGTCCTGAGTGTCACGTCCATCAAGAGTGAGTCGTTCAGCCTCCAAGTGGTTCTGGCCGGCCTGTACAGGGGTGATGACATAGTTACCTGTGCCGCAGTGTGATCTGACCACGGCGTGGCAAGGATGTCCGCTCTCTGTAGATATGTGAGACCTTCTTGCTGGATGAATATGTAATCAATTCTAGAGTATCTGTTGTGCAACGTGGAGTAGTACGTATAATCCCGGTCGTCTGGGTGCCGTGCCCTCCACGTGTCCACCAGTCGTAAATCTCATAGGGCTTTGTGTATTGTCCTGCGCGCCGAGTGAGGCATGCTGCTTCATCCCGTGGATGTGTCTACAAGGGCGTCTAGGGGTGCATTGAGGTCACCGCCGAATATGAGGATCCCTTCTGTGAAACGTGCTTGCTTGTCCGGTGTTGGGCGTATATATCGTGGCGATCGTGTATGTTTTACAAGCTATATCCCCCTTGATGAAGAGGTATCTTCCCCTTTCGTCTTTCATTTGGTCCGTGAGGGTGAATTGCAGGTGTGCGGCTAGAAGGATCGCAGTTCCCCCTTGCGAGAAGTCTGATGGTAGCTATAGTAGTTTAAAGGATAGCTTTTGTCCTTGAGAAGCGTGTTTGATTCTGTTCTGAGGTGAGTTTCCTGGAGGAGGGCGATGGAAACGTGTTGTCCCTTAAGGCTTCTTAGTAGGTGAGACCTCTTTTCCGGTGTGCTTAGGCCCCTGCAGTTCTGTGACCTCACCACCAGTGGTGCCGGGGTGTACGCCATGTGTGGTCCCGTAGTGTCAGCTCGGTAATCCTGATCGGCCCGGCAGATCACCTGACCGGCGAGTTCGGCACCGCCCCCCTTGGCTGGGTGAGCCCGGGCACGTTCCAGAGGGCAACCTCCTGATTGGGCTAGAAGAAAGTTTAAAAAAAAAAGGGGGGGGGGGCAGGACAATTGTGGTGTAGTAAGCGTCAGTAGCGTCCTCTGCTGAGTGGTGCTCGAGCGTGTGGTGTGTAGGTGTCACTTCTGGGAGTGTCGGTGTTTATTTGTTATCACCGTACGCGGCCTTACGTGAATCGTGTATAGTGTATCAAAATGTAGGGTATTGTAAGTGATACCCCAGTGTGGGGTGACTCCGTGTAACTGGGTGGGCAACCAGTGCCGTACCACGGGTTTGCTTCCCGGTAAGTGTGGTATGTGGTTTAATCGGATTTGGTAGTAGAGCTGAAGTGTACATTATTCTAGTATACTGTTGGCATATGTGTATCCTTGTCGATGGGTCGGGTAGTTAGTTAGTTTTCCCCCATGTGTCTGGCGGCCTTCTTGTCTCTTGAGTAGCATCCCGGGGGGGGGGGGAGTTGTCTGGACCTGCGGGGTCAGTCATTCGTCTTGGGTAGGTCTTTTGATAGCTTTATGGTGGGGTTCCCGTGTGTGTCGGTGCGGGAGTGTCTCTAGCTGTGATCCCGGGTGGTCTTGGGTGTGCTTGCGGTGGTCGCTGAGTGCGTCCTGTCAGTCAGGGTTATGATGTGGAGGGCCCCTGCCCCCTGGGCGAGAGCATGTCGCCTCTCTGTCCGTAGACAGGTCTTCTGTGGTATCTCTTCGTGTCACTTTACAGAAGCTGTCCGTCTATCATGTGGGGGGGGGGCCTCTTAGCTATCCTAACGTGAAGCCAGTCCTTGGCCCTATCCCTCGTTTTTGTTCTCAGCTTCAGGAGTGGGGTGCTCCTCCCTCCTTCCCTCCCTCAGTGTCTCCCTCCCTCCTCCCCTCCCACATCCCCCGTCTTTGTGCGGTACTGCGGGATCAACAGGGCTAAGTCTGTGTGACTTGTGGGGTGGGAGGCTTACTAGGCTGGTGTTGGTTGGCTCCCCCTTACCGCTCATTCCTTCTTTCCCCCCCCCCTCCTTCACCACCTCCCCCCTCACCTTGCCATCCATATCGTATGGTTGTGTCTTAATGTATTCCCCCCTATCCTGTCTCCTATCCCCTCCCCTCCCCTAGGGTGTGGTCTCTATCTCTTCATCCATTCTTTCTCCCCTGCATCCGCAAGGCGTTCCCTCTCGTTGTGATAGCTGATACCTCGTAGTGTTGTGACCCTCTGCTCCCCCCCCTCCCAGCCTATACCTCCCCGTTAGTGCAGTCCACATATAGAGTCCAACATTTTCGGCCTTCGGTGTCCTTGGTCTCTCAGTCCCAGTGGTTGGCCCATGATATTGCATATGGACTGATATAATGACCCCCCCACCCCCCTCCGCCCCCTGCCTCCCAAAGTTGAAGGTTTCCCATGGTAGCGGGTCCATGGCTGTGGGCCTTCTCAAGGTGTAGTCCCCCTTGACCACCACCTTGTTGCAAGGAAGAAGCTACATTAGTCAAAGTCTGTTGTCATGTCAGAGTCTAGATACTGTTTGCACTTATCTGATAGTCTTGTGAAGGCGGTGTGATCGTCCGCAGGTCCCTTATCCTCCCCGGAGTGTCCACATCCTCCAAGTCCAGGCGCGCACCGCTGATTGTGGAGGGGTTAGTCTCCTGGTTGTACGGGATGTTGGGCTGGATTTTGTGGTCTGCGTGCTAGTCTCCTATGTGGCGAGTTGTCTCTGCGCCGTCTCGGTGCTCTAGATGCTGGTTGGTTGGGTCTCCGTTCCAATGGGTTCACAATCCAATCAGTGACCTCCGTGTGTGGTAAACCCATGCTTTGGAGGAAAGCTGGTACCTCGTCAGGCCATCTGAGCGACTTCCACTCATTATTGTGTCTGGCAAGCAGGCAGAAGGGGAATCCCCACTTATATGGTATGTTGCTGCTTCGTAGCATTTGAGTCACCGGTCTCAGCGCTCTGCGGGCCTCCAGTGTAAGGGGGGAGAGATCCTGGTATAGGGCTACCTCTGCTCCCTGAAACCGCCAAGTTGGTCTTGTTCTGGCTTTGTTCATAATCATCTCCTTAACTTTGTATTCGTGGAGGCAGCATATGATATCTCTGGGTGTGTTATCAGCAGAGCGCGGCCTCAGTGCCCTATGCGCTCGATCAAAATCTATGCGCTGTGGTGAGTCCGGGCCCAGTTTATCCCTGAATAGAGCGGTTAGGGTAGCTGTTACGTCTTCTTCCCCTGCTGCCTCTGGTAGATTGCGGATTCTAATATTTGACCTACGACCCCTGTTGTCCAGGTACTCGGTTTGTCTTCTTAATTGCAGGAGCATATTGCCTTGTCTGGTTACTGCAGCATCAGTGGCATCCAGCCTGCTTGTTGTTGTGAGGTGTGTGGCTTCTAGGTGCCTTAGGCGTCCGTCCTGTGCCGTTAGGTCCCTCTGAATTGTGGCTACTTCTGATCGAATTACCTCATGCAGTGTGGCAGAGAGTGCCTGTAGATCTGCTTTTGTAACCATGGTCCCTGTGAGGGCCCTGATGTCGGCCCGAATATCTGCCAGTGATGGCTCCTGCGCGTCGGGATGGTGATGGGACCTGGTCGTCGGCCATTTTGGGGCCTGGTGGTGCACGCGGTTTTCTACCCGGAGTGCGGAGGTACCAGTCGAGCGGTCCGGTGAGCGGTGTTCCTTGTGTCCCTTTAGTGGTGTGCTGGGAGTCAGACCGCCTGGTGCGACCCATCGGGTAGGATATCGTGCGGTTTGCACTCTAATGCTAGCTGTGTGGGATGGAGCTCCTCTATTAGGCTGCCATCTCCATCGGCGTTCAGGCCACACCCCCACGGTAGAACTAATTAAATTATAGTGTCCTGAAAAGTAGTAGTGGTTTAGCAAAAATCTGCTATTTCAGAACACTATCTTAAAAAAACAGTTATAAAAACGGTGGGGCGGACCCTAGTCTTCAAGCAGAGTAGATGTGTTGAGCCTGAGCTCCTGAGATCCTGCTTGATTTTAGGGATATAACCCGATTGAGTGACCCTTGTGTTCTCTGGAGGGCACTAGCTATATTGGGGGCTCTCCAGCGATCGTGCAAAGTGAAAGTATCTTTCCGGGGACTGGACACTCTGCTGAGGCCTGCTGGGGAAGGAGCTGGGGAGAGGTAGCCAATCTCCTCACACACTGACTCAGCCTGATCCTCCTGCACTCCTACCCCTCCCTCCGGACTGATGGGGGATATCCCGGTCCCCACTGGCCAAACTAGGCTGCCTAAGCTATCTCAACCTTGAGCCATTGGTAGCAAGCTGGCCAACTACGCAAGGCCTGATCGTGCAACAAAGGCCCCAGTGTGTCCCCATCAAATCTACCATGTGGCGCCTGGATGAAGTCTTCAAATGATTCTGTCACAGAATCCAAGAACGCGCTCAGGCATCCATGCTTAAACAGAAGGTAGATATGAAGGGCAGCATCCGACCACAACGGAGCAGAACTTCTCTGGGCAAAGCTCTCACACAATCACTTGCCAATCCTGGTGCTCACCTGCCTGGGCTCAGAGCCCCTCGAGGCACTGCCTCAAAGCATCATCCAAAGAAGCAGAGGATCGCTTGCCTGAAATGGCGACCACCATCCAGTACCTCTATTTTCCCTGAAAGGGGACAGGATTTGGCCCTAAAGGAACCGTATCAAATGTCTTGGCAAAATCCAAGTAGATCACATCCACTGCAACACCCTGATCTATACTTCTACTTACTTCTTCGTAGAATGCAATAAGGTTAGTTTGACATGACCTATGTTTCATAAAACCATGCTGATTATTGCTAATAACAAAGTTCTTCCCAATGAATTCCCAAATATTATCATTTAATAGCCCTTCAAATATTTTCCCAGTTACAGAAGTTAAGCTCACAGGTCTATAATTTCCAGGCAAGGATTTTGAACCCTTTTTAAATATAGGAACAACATCTGCCTTCCTCCAATCCTCCGGTACAACACCTGAAACAAAAGAATCTTGAAAAATTAAATACAGAGGTTCACTTATTTCCCCACTTAGCTCCTTAAGTACTCGTGGGTGAATACCGTCAGGCCCCGGAGCTTTATTTAAATTAATTTTCTTTAATAGCTGTAGCACCTTGTCTCGAGTTATCCATTCGCAAGTTATTTGCAAGTTTTTTGCAGCAATCATTTGCAAATATCTTGCCATAGGATCCTCATTAATATATACTGAAGAAAAATAGTTATTTAAAATTTCTGCCTTTTCCTGGTCTTCATTAGCTAATAAACACAACTCTGTTTCAAGTGTACCTACACTTTCAATTTTTGTTTTTTTAGAATTGATGTACTTGAAAAAAATTTTGGGGTTGGTTTTGCATTCTTTAGCTATCAATTTCTCATTTTCTAGTTTAGCCACTTTAATTGCCTTTTTGCAAGCGTTATTGGCTTCCTTATATCTTAAATAGGATGCCTTTGATTTGTCTGATTTAAATGCTTTAAATGCCCTTTTCTTATTTTTAATCTCTTGTTTTACTTCTCTACTAAGCCACATTGGTTTTAATTTGTTTCTTTTATATTTATTACCCAATGGTACATACTGAGAAATGTACCTTTCTAATATTTGTTTGAATAGTTTCCATTTATCCTCAGTGTTTTTATCACTAAGGAGTTTATGCCAGACGATATGTTGTAGAGCTGCCCTAATCTTATTGAAATTGGCTTTTTTAACCCCTTAAGGACACATGACATGTGTGACATGTCATGATTCCCTTTTATTCCAGATGTTTGGTCCTTAAGGGGTTAAAATTACGTTTTAGTATACCACACTTGCTTTTGCTTTTTTGAGTTTATTTCAAAATTTACCATATTGTGATCACTATTTCCGAAATGCTTCCCTACTTGAATGTTGGTTAAAAGATCAACATTGTTTGTTATGACGAGATCCAGACAAGCATCCTTTCTAGTTGGTGCTTGTACCAGTTGTGACATAAAGGTGTCATTTAGCACATTCAAAAACCTGATGCCCCTTGCTGAAGTACTAGTCCCTCTTTCCCAATTTATGTCTGGATAATTAAAATCTCCAATAATTAACGTGTTATCTCGATTTGCAGCTTTCTCAATTTGCTCTAACAGCTGTTCTTCCTCAATAATATTTTACATTAGGTGGTTTATAACATATCCCAACCAATAATTGATTTCCCTTTGTTTGCCCCAAGCAGATGTCTACCCGTAAAGCCTCCACCTTTTCCTCGTCACACTCCACATGCCTAAGATTTGACTTTCACTCATGGTTGACGTATAAACATACCCCACCACCCTTCTTGTTTTTCCTATCCTTCCTAAATAACGTGTACCCATTTAAATTAACTGCCCAGTCATGTGTCTCATCCCACCATGTTTCTGTTATGCCATTATATCATATTGTTTAGTGTATGCTATTGCCTCTAGTTCCCCCATTTTGTTATATAGGCTCCTTGCATTAGTAAGCATACATTTAATATTATCATGAGTCTTTTGTACTTTTTGTGAATTATCAATATTACATACCTCCTCTGTTCTGAGCTTTCCCCTCCCCCCATCTCCACCCCCTTTGTTCTGAGCTAAAGCCCATCTCCTTTCCATCCTATCTCCATTTTCTAGATTGCTTTGACCCCCCCCCACCACTAGTTTAAAATCTCCTCCAACCTTCTAGCCATCCTATCCCCCAGCACAGCAGACCCTCTTCCGTTTAGGTGCAATCCATCATGACTATACAGGTTGTACCCAAGCGCAAAATCGGCCCAGTGCTCTAAAACCCCAAAACCCTCTTTCCTGCACCAAGACTTTAGCCACGCATTGACCTCTCTAATCTCCTGCTGCCTTTCTGCTGTAGCGCGCGGCACAGGTAGTATTTCTGAAAAATTTACCTTGGAGGTCCTTTTCTTTAGCTTACTTCCTAGTTCCCTGAACTCACTCTTTAGGACCTTCCATTTTCCTCTGACTTTGTCATTGGTACCAATATGGACCATGACAGCTGGGTCATCTCCAGCCCCTCCCAATAATCCATCCACTCTGTCGGCAACATGCCGGACCCGAGCACCCGGGAGACAGCAAACTGTCCGGGTACCAGGCTCGCCCCCAGTTATGCCAACATATACATGCGCAGGTGGGAGGACCTCTGCGTATGGTTGGGGCATGACTGGGTGGAGAACCTGGTCCTATGGTGGCGATATATAGATGACGTCATTATTATTTGGAAGGGGTCGGATTCCGAATTTATGACTTTTGTCAATCATCTGAATCAGAATGAATACAATTTGAAACTTTCTCCAGTATGGGATCGTAGAGAAATCAACATCTTAGATCTTACCCTGTTTTCAGCCACATTTACTAATACTAAGTAAAGATTACTTAGTATTAGTAAATTCTGCCCCTACTCAGAACAGGGGCTGCTCACTGTAAAAAAAAACAAAAAAAAAACCTATTGCCCCCACCCCTGTGTGACGGGTGGGGGCCATAAATTACAATGGGGTTGAGGACCTACTGTCCTCCCCCCGGCCCCCACACCTGGGCGGCGGGTGGGGGCCATAAAGATAATGAGGGGGGTGGACCTACTGTCCTCCCCCCGGCCCCCACCCCTGGGCGGCGGATGGGGGCCATAAAGATAATGAGGGGGGGGACCTACTGTCCTCCCCCCCTTGCCCCCACCCCTGCACGGTGGGTGGGGGCCATAAAAATAATGAGGGGGGGGACCTACTGTCCTCCCCCCTGGCCCCCACCCCTGCGCAGTGGGTGGGGGCAAATAAATCACAATGGGGGGGGACCTAAGGTCCTCCCCCTGGCCCCCACCCCTGAGCGGCGGGTGGGGGCCCTAAATACTAAAAAGGGGGGGACCTAATGTCCTCCCCCCCCATCCCCCACCCCTGAGCGGTGGGTGGGGGCAAATAAATCACAATGGGGGGGACTTAAGGTCCTCCCCCCTGGCCCCCACCCCTGAGCGGCTGGTGGGGGCCCTAAATACTAAAAAGGGGGGGGACCCCTAATGTCCTCCCCCTGGCCCCCACCCCTTAGCGGTGGGTGGGGGCAAATAAATCACAATGGGGGGGGACTTAAGGTCCTCCCCCCCTGGCCCCCACAGCTGAGTGGCGGGTGGGGGCCCTAAATACTAAAAGGGGGGGACCTAATGTCCTCCCGCCCGGCTCCCACCCTGAGCGGCGGGTGGGGGCCCTAAATACTAAAAAGGGGGGGACCTAATGTCCTCCTCCCCCGGCCCCCACCCCTGAGCGGCGGGTGGGGGCCCTAAATACTAAAAAGGGGGGGGGACCTAAGGTCCTCCCCCCCGGCCCCCACCCCTGAGCGGCGGGTGGGGGCCCTAAAAAAATTGTTTCCCCCCCCCGGTGACTAGGGGTCCCCAAACCCCTAGTCACTCCCTCCCCCCCCAAAAAAAATTAACCCCCTACCTACCCCCCTCACCCTAAAAATAATGAGGGGGGGACTGTTAACTAAGTACCTGTAAAAAAAAATAAAACTTACCATTCAATGTTTTCTTTCTTCTAAATCTTCTTTTTTCAGCCCCAAAAAAGGCCAAATAAAAAACCATAATAACCGACGCAATTAAAAAAAAAAAAAAAAACCGAGCGCAAAAAAATAATAATCCATCTTCACCCGGTGAGGGCTCCACGCAGACTGAGCTCTGCAGGGCGGGGGAAGGCTTATAAAGCCTTGCCCCACCCTGCAATTAGGCTCAGAGCACTCTGATTGGTGGGTTTAAGCCATCCAATCAGAGTGCTCTGACAGGTAAATGAAGAGACTGACAGGTAAGTCTCTACATTTACCTGTCACAGCACTCTGATTGGTTGGTTTGAAATCCACCAATCAGAGTGCTCTGTGTCATTTTCTTTGGAATTTTCCCACGCTGTGTAATTTGACTCATAACAACACTCTGATTGGTGGATTGAAAGTAACTAATCAGAGTGTTGTTATGAGTCAAATTACACAGCGTGGGAAAATTCCAAAGAACTTAGTTAACTGTCCCCCCTCATTATTTTTAGGGTGAGGGGGGGTAAGTAGGGGGTTAATTTTTTTTTGGGGGGGAGGGGGTGACTAGGGGTTTGGGGACCCCTAGTCACCTGGGGGGGACATTTTTTTTTAGGGCCCCAACCCGCCGCTCAGGGGTGGGGGCCGGGGGGGAGGACATTAGGTCCTCCCCCTTTTTAGTATTTAGGGCCCCCACCCGCCGCTCAGGGGTGGGGGCCGGGGGGAGGACATTAGGTCCCCCCCCTTTTTAGTATTTAGGGCCCCCACCCGCCGCTCAGGGGTGGGGGCCAGGGGGGAGGACCTTAGGTGCCCCCCATTGTGATTTATTTGCCCCCACCCACCGCTCAGGGGTGGGGGCCGGGGGGAGGACATTAGGTTTCCCCCCCCCTTTTTAGTATTTAGGGCACCCACCCGCCGCTCAGGGGTGGGGGCCAGGGGGGAGGACCTTAGGTCCCCCCCCTTTTTAGTATTTAGGGCCCCAACCTGCCGCTCAGGGGTGGGGGCCAGGGGGGAGGACCTTAGGCCGGGGTGGGGGCCAGGGGGGAGGACCTTTAGGGCCCCCACCCACCACTCAGGGGTGGGGGCCGGGGTGGGACAGAAGTTCCCCCCTATTGTTTTTTTTAGGGCCCCCACCCACCGCTCAGGGGTGGGGGCCGGGGGGAGGACAGTAGGTTCCCCCCCCCTATATCATTGAGTAAACTTTGACAACCCCACCCCCGAGCGGCGGGTGGGGGGGTTGTCAAAGTTTACTCAATGAAATGGAATAGGGGGCGGACCGAACATCGCATATGTTCGCCCGCCGTGGCAAACGCGAACATGCGATGTTCGCCAGGAACTATTCGCTGGCGAACTGTTCGGGACATCTCTAATGCGGACACACTCTCCCTACAGACAAGCCCATTGACACACATGCTCCCTACAGAAGAGCTCACTAACACATAGATTCACTACAGGCAAGCTCACTGACACACACATGCTCACTACAGGCAAGCTTACTGACACACAAATGGCCACTACAGACAAGCTCACGATCACACACATGCTTACTACAGACAAGCTCACTGCACACATATGCTTACCACAGACAGGCTCAGACACACCCATGCTCCCTACAGACAAGCTCACTAACACACACACACACAATCCGTACAGACAAGCTCACTGACACACATACAAGCTCACTCACTAGCAGGCACACACACAAACTCACTAGCAGGGGCACACATACAGAAGCTCCCTCACTTGCAGATGCACACACGCACAGAAGCTCACTCACTAGCAGATGCGCACACACACACTCACACAAAAGCTCACTCACTCATTAGCAGATGCGCACACACACAAAGACATCCACACACACAGAGGCAGATATCCACAAACACAAAGGTAGACATCCACACACACAGAGACAGCCGCACACACACACACACACACACACACACACACACACAGGCAGACAGACACACACACACAGGCAGACAGTCACACACACACACACAGGCAGACAGTTACACACACACACACAGACATACACACAAACAGGCAGACAGTTACACACAAATATAGGCAGACAGTCACATACAGTAAGACAGTCATACACACACATGCAGACAGTCACACACACAGACAGTCACACAAACACAGGCAGACAGTCACACACTCACACACACACAGGCAGACAGTTACACACACACACGCAGACAGTCACACACAGGCAGACAGTCACACACACACAGGCAGACAGTCATACACACACACACACACACACACACACACACACTGACCTACTTCTTACCTCCACATCCCTTGGAGTTTCTGGAGGCTGATTGTTGGGGAAGCAGGGACTCCTTCCTGCTTCCCATGCTGCAGTTACCAGGGCCCCCAGCACACGCTAAGCTCCGCCCCTGCTGCACGCTGAGCTCCGCCCCGTACTAAGCTCCGCCCCACCACGTGCTAAGCTCTGCCCCGCCGCAATATTATTTTTTTTTTCTTTTGTTTTCATTTTATAATCCCAGCCGGCCATGTGTGAGCTGTGTCAGCCACCTGGCCCCCCTGCTCCCTGCTCGCACATGGCTGGCCCGGGATTACAGGAGCCTGATCACTGATGAATAGGGCTGTCAGCCCAGCCCCAGGTGCTGCGGCCCACTGGGAAATTTCCGGTATCCCGCTGGGCCAGTCCGGCTCTGGATTGTGGGACTGACGATCACGTGGGCGGAAGTTCGGCTGTTCGTTGTCTGACATCACTTCCGGTATTCAGGCGCCAATTCAGCCTACTCTTCATAATAAAGTCTCTTTGCCCATTGAAGATAGAGACTCCATAGTGTTTATGGGCAATTATGACTGCTTTATGGACATATAGTATATGTATATAAGCTACCAAATTCTTCAAAATTATCCTCGCCCTTCTAGTCTTTCTTTTTGTGAGCAATAATAGTATAGCTAATGTGTGAAGGATCCCTATCATGATATTGTGCAAAATGTGCAGAAACGCTATGTTTGGTGTACCCCCCCTGTATATTGCCCATGTGTTCTAGTATACATGTTTTGAATGCTCTCGTAGTCATTCCCACGTACTGTAGTCCACAAGGGCACCAGAGGAGGTATATCACACTAGTAGAGTGGCACGTCAGGATAGAATTGATCTTATACTGTGATGGGATTCCAGCATTGTCAAAATTTTGTAGGCAGAAATCACCACATGGCATATGTTAATTAGTATCTGGTTACAAACAGTTGGATGAGTCATCAGTGTACAGAGCATGTACGGAAGTGGAAAGTAAATTCCTTTGTTTTTAACAAGCCATGCGGTCTGCCCACATAAGGTGATCCAGAATATCCTGTTCACGGATTGGTCTAAGGGTATGTGTGGGTGGAAGCTATGGATGGGAGGAGATACTGTAACAAAAAGCTCTGTCCTTATGTGATGGGTCTCTCAGATATTTTTGGAACAGGAGTTCATCTGAGACCCGATCGGTGTGAATAAAGAACCTTTTTACTTCCTAGACCTGCCTCCATTTCTCTGTGTTTGGCTTCTGCAATTGATTACGGTAACAATACTCTTTATTCGTAGATTTGGAAATAAATTTAGTCTGTGTGTCTTTTTTGAATTTAGTTCTTTTACATGCTGTACACATTTTGCAAGGATAGAAACCATACCTCTGATTAAAAGCATTTATATTACTGTTAATTTTGACATGATTTTTTACTAAAAGGGTTTGGAGATTCTTTGTGCCCCTATATATATTTTTTGGTTTCTTGTTGATAATATTATTTAAGCCTTCATCCGTTCTTAAAATATACCAGTATTTATGAAAAATGGATCGCCATTATAGTCTAAAATTAAAAGCTGTTCCTCTGTTTTATTGGTAGTTTCCCTCTTTTTATTTTCCAGTAAGGATTCTCTTTTTAGTTGTTTAACTTCCTGGATCTGGCTTTCTAAAATGATCCAATCTTACTTTTTTTCAACAAAAAATCTTTTTAAACGTAATGCTTGTTTTTCATATTCTGTAGTATCACTACAGTTTTTAAAAATACGAGTAAATTGGCTCTTTCATACATTCCGCAACCACGGATCGTAATAGTGTCAAAGGCTCATAGTGTCAATATAGTGTCAATATACCCATTGACTTCTATGGGTTTAAAAAAAGTCCTAGTATAGATGTGATTATTCTGAATGTAGATCTCTAGATCCAGAAATTGGACCAACGTTTGGCTAATCTGGCTAGTTAGGCAATGTTCCTATGGTTGCTATTAAGGTCATCCAGAAATAAATCCAAAGATGTCTTAGTACCCCTCCATATGAAAAAAAGTCGTCAATATATCTGCGATAGAGGACCAGACTCGCTACCCCATTGTCCCGCCCACTCAGGGACTTACACAGCTTGTTCTATCATTGGATTTTATTTTATATTTGAATAAATCTGTTATTTTTTACTACTGCTGCTGCATTTCCTGATCTTTGTGGGAACTGGTACAACCACCCAGGACCTTCCATATAGCCTATCAGGCACCCTTGGGCGTTATATACAGAGCCTGGCATGGCTCTGTAATCTGTGAGTGTATCCATATATTTTATATTTATTCATTGGTCACCGCAGAATACTCTATGTGTTGTCTTTCTTTTGTATTATTTTACGATATGTATATGGAAAAGTATAAGTATTGTTCTGTTTTATAACACTTGTATTGTCTATACACGGGTAGTGGTGTGTATACTTAGCATCTATTGTCATCTAAGTATTTATATTGGTCAATGATTTTGCATCTTACCATAACTCTTTTTATAATCTTCCAAGTAATAATATTTCCAGTGAGTAGGTCAAAGACTATCTTGAAAAAAACTTCATTACCAAAATTAAAGCATGATAGGGTTGAGTTTTTAAACAGAACAATCAGCTATTCAGAATTTGAAATCTTATAAGGTCCTGATGGGTATTCTGCAATCTTCTATAAGACTCTAGAGCTACAAATTTATTTAATATTATTAAAGCTGTTCAACAATATTCACAATACAAATGATTTTCCTGAAGAAATGTTAATGGCTACAATTTAACCTATATTAAAAGAAAAGGAAAGATCAAAATTTCGTTTCAAGGTGGTTCTTGTCTGTTTTAAAAATGTATTATAAGTTTATCTACAAACTTTTCAGCAAAAGTTATAGAATATGGGGCAAATTCAGATTGGTTTTAAATAAAAAATGTATCATGCCAAGGCTGTCCATTGTCCCCGTTACTGTACATTCATTCTGTTGAACCATTGGCAGCATATATCTGTAATTCATTAGCTGTAAAGAGAATTTCTATGCTAGACAAAGAAAGTAGGTTTTCGCTATATGCAGATAGTCAATCCTCACTCTTAGTGCACGAGATAGATCTATTTCAGCAGTGTTAGATATACTGAGGGAATTTGAATTGTATTCAAACTATAAACTTAATGTTAGCAAAACTCAAATTATAAAAGTAAACATTGAACCGTAGTACTCAGAGAAATTAAAAACAAGGTATGAATTTTTCGAGACTAATCAGGATTTAAATTTCTTGTGTACTAAATTAAGTTTTGCTTTAAACCAAATAGTAAATATTAACTATAATCATCTTATTGGAAAACTAGAGAGAAATATATTGGTATGATTAAATGGGAATGAGATCTAGGTCAGTCATTCACTAGAGACATGGTCAAGCTCATTTCGATTATTCAGAAAAGCTGTACACTGTGCTAATCTTTTCAAGACTCAACTGAAAATTCTTAACAGATGGCAGCGAGAAATTGGGACTTTTCTCCACATATGTTGGAATTGTAAGCACTTAGAGAACATGAAACAGATGATAAGTAAAATTATAGAAGATATCCTGAAAATACAGGTTTCATTAGTTGGTAATTTTTTCTTTTTCATTTTAACTTACCAACGAATTCTAGATCAAAGAGTCTTCTTATTATTCATATTATGATGGCTGTTAAAACTTTTCTACCATGATATTGGAGATAAATCTAGTTCAACTTAAAAAGCAATATTTTAAAATGATCAAGAATATGAAAGAATATAAAGAGATGTGGAGTGTCTGGGTATTGTATCGGTTACACTGTTCTTCTGAAACCTTGCCTTAATCCACAACATTGCCCATTATTTCCCTCAGTTAACGCAGGTCTGATTTTTTTGTATTCATATTATCTCTTTGTATTGTAGGGGTTTCTTGTGCGTCTAGAATGTCTGTATAAGTTTTGATAACACTTTTTTACTTTTGTTGATCTGTGCATGATGTGGTTGAAAATGCAAAACTATAAGAATAATATGTACAGTTTTAAATGCTGGTCTTTGTACCATGTTAATGTATAAAATAAGAAATAGTTTTTATGATAAAACCTATATTTAAAAAAATAAATAAATAAACTTTTATTCAATTTTATGAATGTCCTCAAGAGTAGCCTGTGGTATTAAGCCACAGGTATGATTCAGGTATGATTTGCAAACAAAAAATCTCATTATTTAAGAAACAGTGTAAAATATAGAATAACCCTCACATATATCCAACAAATGGTGAAGTCTCAAATTTATACATACATAATGTGGAGCTATAAGGCTAAGGTACAATGCAAATATGTAAGGATACAAAAGTAAAAGGAAATAGTGCAATATTGTAAGAACAAATAACATATAAATCAATGAGAATAAGAGTACAACTCACAAGCATTGAGCCATTAAGAACACATGGCTCAGATGGTAAGTGCAGGTGGACAGTTAACAGGATGTCCAATTCCTTTTATTGCTGATCCTGTATTGATGGTTCTGTCAGTAGAACCCAGGAGGTGCACAAGAACCTTGTCCAAGGGATCCTTTATTGAATGCAAAAAATAGTGGATAAAATCACAAATGCAATAAAAAATATATAAATAAGTTCATAAATAGCAAATGGTCCAGGCATTCTGTAGTTGAATATAAGTCCAGTAATGTGTCCAATACTCCAAAACGTGATTGTCTCAAAGGAGGGGCTTCGGGGGGGCGGGGCCGGGCCGCCGAGCTGGATGGCAGCCATGAGCTTTAGCTCTGTCCCACGATCCCCAAAAAACGACTTCAAAAGTGGTCATGCAGCATCAAAAAGGGGACACCCCGGTAACCGAATGATAATGCACGCACCCTGCACCAGTAGGATACCTACATGGGGCCAATCCCGCACCAAGAGAGCAAAAAGCAGGCAAACATGGCAATCACGGCCGCACATGGAGGGAGGCAGGAAAGACGAAGCGGCCCGGCGGGGCGAGCGTTGAAAAAGAGACCCGGACCCGAAGCTGAACGGATGGGCCCGGCCGGCGGCGCGGCCCCGCTCCCCCCCCAGGCCGGTGGGGGTTATCCCGGCCACATGGTGATGATCTCCGCGGCGACGGAGGCCCGTGCGGGTCGATCACCTACACTGGCAAAGGCTCCCAGGAACAGCCCGCCAGCAGATAAGGGCAGATGGAATACAAGCACGCACGAAGTGAACTACCCACCTTTATGTGGAGGCTTCTGTATGAGGCTCGAGGGGCCCCGACGGCTGTCGGCCCACGGACGGACACCCCGGAGGGCCTACCCCCTGGTGACGATACTGGACCCTGCATCTGGGTTTCTGGGTGGCTCGGAGAAGGATGTCCCCGACGCAGTGAGTCCTGTGGGGCCAGAGGGCTCTGAACCCCTCCGGTTTACCGGTGACCGGGAGGGAGGAGGCGCACCGGCTCTAAGTGTGAGGCCTGCGCCGGGTGAGACTCGTGGGCCCAGATGTTATCTGGCAGCGCAAACGACGCCGGGGAGGTGCAGGGGACGGAGAGTGCTGGGACTTTTGTGGGGGGTCTCATGGACTGACCCGGACCCCGAGTGCCCACGGCATCGCAGAGCGCCCCGAGGGGGCCTGAGTCCAAGGGGTGAACAGACGGAAGACCGACACCCTGAGGGACCGTACCGATCCGGTATGCAGATAGCTTACAGTTATACAATTCAGCACAACATGCACCGCTGACAACTACGGGACTATACCTATAAGCAAGCTCACGTGCAATTCTGGACACCTGAGCAGCTTCTCAACTGAGCTTTGATACATATAAAGATTGACAGGGGGGCTTTTATACATGTTCTCAGTTAATACCATTTCAATGCGAAAAAAAAAAAAAAAAATTTTTTTTTTTTTTTTTTAAGGAATAGCCTGCAACCTATGTTTTAACAGCTGCATGCAGTCCGCATCTATTCCGCTTACATGATGCTGTATCTAAATTACCAATTGAATGTGCAGTAAATGCTAAAATGCCCATAAGGGCCAAAGGTAGACACTGATAAATATGTATCCACTGACTGCCGCACGAGAGTCGGGACAGTCGCCTATAACTGTATACCTGATATCCAAATAGCTTTAGTATTGATTAAGGCGACAAACTGCAAACAAATACGCTCTTTATGCTGAAAGTTGAAAAAGTTTTGATACCTTAAATTGTTACTTAATGTCAGACCCTAACTAGCAAGCTAATCCGTTTGCATCTGCATGGGAGACAATCCGCATTTACTAATTAGCACACACGCAACACTGGTATACACCAGATAACATAAAACACTTACTTAACGCTATAATCGAAATAATAAGGCAACACAGTACATAAGAGTATAAAACATAAAGCAACCACATACGAACACAAACACAAGACAGGACGATGTCGCCGATACGCAGGCAACCAAATGCATACGCAGTGTCAAACCATTGTCTGTCAACACAAAACACTTACTTAACGCTAGAATCGAAATAATATAGCAATACGGCACATGAGAGTATAAAACACAATGCAACCACATGTGAACACAAACACAAGACAAGACAATTTCGCCTCCACGCGGGCAACTAAATGTATATGTAAAACAGGATAAGCTAAACAGGCTAAGACGGATCCGTCTCTGCGTAGGCAACCAAAATTATATACTGTGTTGAACCAATGCTTAAGCCCCTGGGTGGGCAACCACTTGCTTTATTACAAATCAGTTTGACGTATGAACCTATGTTTTTGTTTAAAAGCATGTTAAGCTAAACAGGCTAAGACGGATCCGCCTCTGCGCAGGCAACCAAAAGTATATACTGTGTTGAACCAATGCTTAAGCCCCTGCGTGGGCAATCACTTGCTTTATTACAAATCAGTTTGACGTATGAACCTCTGGTATGCATACAATAAAAATATTCAAAACAAAGGAGGGGCTTCTTCAGTTGGTTATATTTCCTATTTCAATTCTCTCTTCAAATGTCCCGTTTTCTATTTACCTCCGGTTCGTCATTTCCAGTGGATCGTGTTCTTCTATTATTCCTATTTGTCCTTGGAACGCATCATGCGTTCCAGCGCACTTCACAGATGTATTTCACCATACGTCGGAATACAGCGTGGGTCCATCCGTGGGGAGCCGTCCATGTGGCAAGAAGGGAAGGTTTTCCGGGGTATGCTCTTACGTTTGGTGAAACACAGCGTTGCGCCCTGAGTTCCACTTCAATGTCCACATATATTGGAATCACACAAATGTCCTTACCATCAATTACCTTGTTAAAAAAAACAGCAGTGTGGCGAAACCGGCCTCACCACGTGTCCTTGGAGGGGGCTACTTGCCCGCCTCTTGCCTTTGGACTATGGACCAGACTTTATGTGAATGTGTTAACCCAGATAGCTATGCCATGGAGCCCATTCGTGTAGTTAAAGACTTCGGCTCCATGGCAATTGAACTGTGTGAATAGGATCTGAGCGCTATTCGGTAGTTTTGTGCGCTCAGATCCCAGCTATCTGGGGATATGTGACATGTCTGTGTTTTATGTATAAAATGTGACTTTGTGTATTTTATAATATTTTAATGCTTTGTGCTCACCATGTGCATAATGGAGTCTTGTGTCTGTCCTGGGAGATAATTGAATTACTTCTCAATTCAATCTCCAGGATAGAAGACTCTGAAACTGGTTTGGGCCGGAAAGCCATGCTTCATTTAGTCACAAAGGACTTTCCCTTAACTTTTGAACCCCTGGTCTGATTCGTGCCATTTTTTAATATGTTGTTCCCCTGAATGGATTGATTATGAAAATGTATGTTTTATGTTTGTGACATGTACATTTTAGAAGTTATAAATATTGTGTAAAAACTGTATTCCTCTGCTGGTGATAATGAGATTACCCATTGTGTTCAGTAATCATATCACAGGCAGAGGGGAGGATTTTGTGTGGGAGTGTCTGGGTGTATTGTACGGATTGATTGGTTGTTTTGTAACGCCCTGTGGGCTGTACTATGTTTGTGGATTGGGAATAAAAGAGACTGTATGTGACAGTACAGGGAGTTCCTGTTTAACCCTCAAAGTAAAGTGTTGTCTCATTATTGGGGGAAGGATTTATTGTATGCTGTTCCAGTTTGACTGCTAGGAGGGTAAACCTATTCGTATGGTTTCCTATTCAACTGTCCCAAGCATTCATATGCTTGAGAGAAGGTATACGCTTCTCTGGTTCGGTGATTGTGGTGTCTGCCAGAGTGCTTGGAGTCCTCAGGAAACGCTAGGAGCATCCTTTAACGGAGGTATCCAGTCGGGGTGCCAGGCGATCCGTTACAAGCAGTATCATACAACTTAATGTATTAAAAACATAAACATCTTTAAAAGAAAAGAAGGGACAATGTAAGATAAAATTCTATCCATATTATAAGAATCTAGATTGGGTACTAAGAAAAGTATTGCATGTAAAAAAAAAAAAAAAAAAAAGTTTTCAAGAATTTTAATAATGTATATAAATAGCTTTATTCCATATCTATTTAATTATAAAAAAGTTTATTTTATATATTTAACTCATAAAATGACATAGCTCAAAAGCCTGATTCAAGCCTTGAGGAATCATCATGTTAAAATTAAAAATGAATTTCATTTCTACCATGACAATTTTCTTAT